GTCGTCTCCGTGTCTCTCGTCATGTGATATTTTGGGAACACAAGATGTTCTCTTTATATCTAAGTTCATTTGTCCACCTCTCCTACTACACCATTCTTTACAAATCATTCTCTTTTGTTTAATAAGCTTAATACAAACACTACTTCTGACATGATGGCTCCGGCCCATCCTGAGGATTCTGCTCCGCCTTTTGGTCTTGTTGCTCCATTCTCTGATCCTAAGTCTGCTCTTGCTCCACCTCCTAGTCCTATCTTCATTCCATTTCACAGTGAGCCACATATAGCCGTTGATTCTACGTCCTTATCTTCTATACCATAGGTACCTTATTATACTTGGGTAACACAACCTGTTGTCCTTTTTCATGATTTCATTGTTGGTTCTACTGCTTTTTCTTCTCATGAACCTACTTTCTATTGAGAGGCTTGCTCTAACCCTCTTTGGCAACAAGCTATGACTGATGAACTATAAGCTTTTGATAAAACTCATACTTGGGATGTCGTTGACCTTCCTCTTAGAAAGAGTGTTATTAGTTGCAAATGGGTTTACAAGATCAAAACCCATTCTGATGGTTTCATTGAGCGTTACAAAGCTCGACTTGTAACCCAAGGGTTTACTCAAGAATATAGGATTGATTATGAAGAAATATTTGCTCTTGTTTCCCGTCTTACTTCAGTTCGCAACCTCTTTGCCATTGCTCGCCATTGAAGTCTTTGCCAGATGGATGTCAAGAATGCTTTTCTTAATGATGATCTCACTAAGGAAGTTTATATGCAACCTCCTCTTAGTTCCTTAATTTTGTCCACCAAAGTCTGCAAACTTCGCTCTGTTTTGTATGCTTTGAAACAAGCTCCTCATGCCTGGTTTGCTAAGTTCAGTTATACCATTCGTGACTTCGGCTTCTTCTCCAGTGCCTATGATTTTGCTTTGTTTATACGCAAGACAGAGCGTGATATTCTTCTTCTTCTTCTCCTCTATACGGATGCTATGATCATCACTGGGGATGACATAGTGAGTATCTCTAGTCTCAAACAGCTCCTCAATTGCCAGTTTAAGATGAAAGATTTGGGTTTGCTTAGCTACTTCCTCGACTTGAAAATTTCTCAAGATCTTTCTGGTCACTTTCTCATCCAAGCCAAGTATACCTCTGATCTCTTAGCTTATGCTGGTCTGATCGATTGTAAGGCTGTGCCTACCCCAGTTGATTCTCAGACTCGTCTCACAACTCTTAATGGTCACTTGTTATCTGATATTACTTTATATCGTCTGCTAGTTGACAGTCTTGTCTATCTCACGGTTACTCGTCCAGATATGCTTATGTTATTTACATTGTCAGTTAGTTCATGGTTTCTCCTCGCTCTCTGCACTATAATGCTTAATTCACATTTTGTGTTATCTCAAAAGATCTATGTTTCATGGTTTTCACTACTTAGTACACTCTTCTTTACATCTACACGCCTTTTCTAATGCAAATTGGGCAGGGGATTCTAAGCCATTCTATTACAGGATTTTGCTTCTTCTTGGGTGACTCTCTCATTACCTAGCGTAGCAAGAAACAAACTTTTATTGCTCGTTCTAATACTGAGGTTGAGTATTGTGCTCTTAATGACATTACTCAAGAGCTTGTATGGCTTCGTTGTTTTTTTTCTTTTTTTTCTGATATGTGAGCTTCTCATTCTGCTGTCACTAACCTTTATTTTGACGATCAGAATGCTATTCAGATTGCCCATAATGATATCTTCCATGATCGCACCAAACATATTGAGATTAATTGTTACTTCATACGGCAACATGTTACTAGTGGCACTATTCGTCTTATCTTTGTTACCTCTGCCGATCAGACAATCGACATCTTCACGAAGACTCATCCTCCAAGACGCTTTTCTGACTTACTTTCCAAACTTAAGTTGATATCTGCATTATTATCTTGAGCTTGACTGGGGTGTTAGTTGTATATATCTATATTACCATATTATGCATTATCATATTGTGTATTACCATACTTAGCTTCTCATTGTCCTATATAAAGGAATATTGTATTCATTCATATTCATTTATTGAAATATACAGAGTTATATTCTCTCTCTCTCTCTCTCTCTATTATCATAATTCAATTAAACAATTTTATAAATTTTTATATGTAAATCGTCCAAAAAAGAAATCAAATTGATATAATAATTGTAGTTACCCTATTTCATCAATTTTTCTTTATAAAAAAATGGACCATAAGTATAAATTTGAAAATGGTTTGTTTGTTTTTTTAAGGCAAAAACAATGTGACTATGATTTTTTATGTGTGAATAATTTAATTTACAAAATAAACAGATCAAATCATTAAAAAAAACCTATAATAGACTCCACATAACTCTTACTCACTTGCCCTATTGAGTTTTAATTAGAGATCACTGTGTGAACATTAGGTTAATGTAATGTTTTTAAACCAATAAGAACATTATTATTAATCGAATGAATCAATCTATTTTCTTCGTGTGGATGGTATCATTTTAAAGGGTATTTTTTTAAAAAGAAAATTTATTCAAAAAATAATTTACTTCAAAAAAAAAAAAAAAAACGGAGAGAGAGAGAAAAGCCAAAAAGATTAATATATATTATGAGGACACAATCTCTCTCTACAGCATGGGGGGACAGTCGACTAAGGGCATGGCCGTCCAAGAAAAACATGGAAACACTGTTCTCTTCTGTTCTGTTTTGTGCACATATATATCTCTACCCCATATGGGTGTTTGTTTCCATTTTTAGCAACTGCAAACATGATAATATGTGACCTCATTTATTATGCTTTCAAACAACTAACAAATTGCCTTACAACACAATCTCTCTCTCTCTCCCTCCCTCGTTATACTATCATCGAGTTGAGTGGTAAATTATTTAATTTTATTTTAAATTTATTATGTTTAAATTTAACTTAATTTATTTTTGAATGCATCAGTCAAGTCGAGTGATAAATTATTTAATTTTATTTTAAAATTTTAATGAATTTTAAAATATGTTCAAGTTTAATCTAATTTATTTTTGAATTGGTCTTTAAAAGGTTTTATCGATTCAAACTTGAGTATTTTTGTTTTTTGTTTTTATAGCTCATATAACCGAGTAATAGATTATTTAATTTTTTAAAAACAGAACACAAGCCAAATCTAAATAACTCGATTCATTTTATAACCTATGAAATTTCCAACTCTATGTAAAGATCATGCGAGGATTTTGAGTTGTAAAAATCTCATGACATAATTGAAATATTGCGAGTGTTTAGAGACCGATGCGAGGATTTTGAGTTGTAAAAATCTCATGACATAATTGAAATATTGCGAGTGTTTAGAGACCGATCACATACTTACTATTATTATGTTTTATAATTTTTGGCATTTATACTATCTATACTTTTATATTAAGTGATGCTAAATTTAGTGTCCAAACTTTTACTTGCTTCTCCTTATGTCACATGTCCCTAATTTTTCTATTTAAAAAAAAAATTTAGATAAATGGAAAGTGTGAGACTCGAACCTTATCAATTGAGTGGCACACAATATATAATAAATATTTTTTAAAATTATTTTTACTTATTTAAATTGCTCACGTATCATGTATACCAACTGTTAATCAAAGTTCAATCACATGACTAAAAAAAATATTGAATTACTATGAGAAACTATATGTGATTGTTGTTGTTATGATGTGGTAATAGTGTAAGAGATTCGATTTAAACTATTTGTATTGTTAGCATCATTATTGTGGACCAAGATCTGTAATTAATGTGTCCCAAACTAGGATTGACTCAATCATTTTTATGCCCGTGGGTTCAAAGTTACATTCATTCATTCAATTATTTTTATTTATTTATTTTCAAGATCATGTTATTGTTATATGTTGCTGCTGGGAATAATCATCCTTCTTCATCACAACATACGACTCTCCATATTATGATTCAATTAACAGAAGAAATGAACAATCCGATGATTACATAGTCCTCAATGTTTATAATGGCATTATTTAGTGCAGTTTATTGAAATTACATATGTATGTATATTTTTTGAAATTTGTATCAAAGTATTTAGTACAATTTTTGCTGAACTTATGAGATCAAAATGACTTAAATCAACTAAAAATAAAACAACAAATTATTTAAAAATTAAAAACGAAGTACTTTTGATTTTTATTTTTTAATTATTAACTTTTAGTTAAAATTATACCAAATAAGTCCAATGTCAATCATGGAATGGAATCACTTTGTTTCTTGTTACAAGTAGTGCGTTTTTTACTTTTTGTTTATTAATTTCAATCATTTTAAGTTACAAATTCAGTGCTTAAAACTTAAGACGTGGATAGTCATTTTGTACGAATAATGCGCCCAAAAGTTTAGATCTCTGATTTTCCCCCTCCCAAATCATATCCAAAATGGAATCACTTTGTTTCTTGTTACAAGTAGTGCGTTTTTTACTTTTTGTTTATTAATTTCAATCATTTTAAGTTACAAATTCAGTGCTTAAAACTTAAGACCGAGGATAGTCATTTTGTACGAATAATGCGCCCAAAAGTTTAGATCTCTGATTTTCCCCCTCCCAAATCATATCCAATAAGAACCAAAAAAAAAAAAAATTCCCACTTTCTTTTTTCAATTCTACAAAGTTTTAGTTGAGTCATGACATAGACACTCAATGAAGAATCTAAGAAGCTATGACCTTAGATTTTCTTGAACTATGAGGAGCAATAGAATAAAACTACAAGAATGAGTAGTTTTTTTCTTCTTTTTTTTTTTATTTAAAATTTTGTGCAACAAAAGGTGTTATTGTGTTAATGTGAAATGAATTTGGCCACTTTTTGAAACTTTTGTTTTCACCCATTTATTCAAATGATCATATGTCACTTTGCTACAAGCCAACTGGTAACTAATAGATAAAGTATAGAATTTGAAGACGCACGCAAAAAAAAAAAAAAAACTTGTGGGTCCCCCTTTTTTGCTTAAATTTGGTTGCCAGAAAGGCCGAGAAAATGAGAGCATCTCACAGCCCTCATATCAGTCAACAAACCCAACTACAAAAGGCCCCCAAACCTTCCCTCCTCCTTCCCTCCTCATTCTCTCATTCAGACATTTTCACAAACACCTTGCAACGAAACGTTTCGATTCATTCTAAACCATGGCTAGACCACAACAGCGATACAGAGGGGTTCGACAGAGGCATTGGGGCTCTTGGGTCTCCGAAATTCGCCACCCATTACTGTAATTTGAGCTAACCATCGACATTTCTTTGACTGTTTCGGTGTAGTTCTTTTGGTGCTAAAAAAAGAAACGTTTCTTTTTTGTGCAGGAAGACTAGAATTTGGCTTGGGACATTCGAAACGGCGGAGGACGCAGCTCGAGCCTACGATGAGGCGGCGAGGCTAATGTGCGGCCCGAGGGCGAGAACCAACTTCCCTTACAACCCAAATGCGTCACAATCGTCGTCGTCAAAGCTACTTTCAGCTACTTTGACAGCCAAATTGCACAAGTGTTACATGGCTTCACTTCAAATGACAAAACAAGCTGTGCAAGAGCCTCAAAGAATTCAGGCGACACGCAGTGGCGGTCCCGCCAGCGGCATTTTGGGAAATGTGGAGGACATGGGTGGTTGGTCGCAGGAAAAAAAACCAATGGTGGTGGCGCCACCACAGCAGGAGGTGAATTGGGTTATGAATACTAATACTAGTAGTAGCCCGCAATTCAAGGCTCTTGAGGATGACCATATTGAGCAAATGATTGAAGAGTTGCTTGATTATGGGTCCATTGAGCTATGCTTTGTGCCATCTCAAGCTATCTAGGCCAAAACATCCCCATCACCCCCCTCCTCTCTCTCTCTCTCTCTCTCTAAGTCATTCTACTCGCATAAAAATTAATTACAAAATTGGACAGAACCCTTTCACGTAAGTGTGGGACCCAACTCGTGTGAAAAGGTTATATCCGACTCTGTGATCGGTTTCTATGTTCTTAGACATTTCCTTAGTTTATGTTGCTAATTATGCTCTCTCACTTGGCTAATTTAACCCATTTTTCTCAGCCTTTTTAGAACTTCTTCAAGTGTATTAGATCATCCTCTCCAGTTCCTAGAATTCCTATTCTAAGTGAACCCATTTGAGTATTACAATTATGTGTATATAGTGTATTATGTTCTCATATATGATGCCATTGTATGACTAGTTCTATCTTTGATTAAGGGCAATGTTGTTCAGAATAAAACATTATCTCTCTCTCTCTCTCTCTCTCTCTCTCGAATAAAAAATGGAGGAAATTAAATATCCATTTCTCCAGTTCTGTATTCAGTGAATAAATGTTTTAATTTTGGATGTCAAACAAATTATATATAAATTAATAGCTCTCTCACCATAACTTAATTTGGCGGTGGTTTATTAATAATTTAAATTTGAGTGCAATACTAAATTAAACTAAATAACCCTTCATTTTGGCAAAATAGGGTTCCCAGTTTCTACACAGCTTCTCAACACTGTCAGGTGAACTGACAAAGGGACACCATAATTTTCTATTAAATTTTTATTTTATTTTATATTATTACATAATTTTTACTATGATGTGAGGACATTTCTGTTGTGCCTTCGGTGGGGTCTATTTTAAGTTTACTTTCATAATTTAAGCACTACATATTGTAGGGCGTACTGAATAAGTGATTCACAAAAAGATAATATTAATTAGATATCGATAGTTACATGATCAGATCATGTTTGTCTAAAAAAAGATTCGACAAGTGTAATTTTAAAAATACACAATCCATTTTAAAAATAAATAATAATTCAACCATGTGACTATTAATATCTGATCAATATAATTTTTTTTTTTTTTTTTTGTGTATGTGAACAATCTTCTCAACAATGCACGAATTGAATGGTTCCAATAATGAAGATGAGCTGGTGGGCCATACCAAGGGGGAACAACACTTTTGAGTAAATGCCTTAGTATGCAACATTTTTTTGGAAAGATTATGGAAATAGCAATATTTTGTTACTAATTGGATCAGGATATCACCGTATACTCGATTGTATAATATGATAAAAATCTTAAAAAATATGAGAATATCGAGACATGATTGTACTAAAAAAGCTAAATGAAATAAAATAAGTTGCGGTGTAACACAGTATCGACATTTTTCATTACCATGCTTTGTCGGGTTAGAAACAAATTTCTTTATCATCCAAGAAAGGGAGAAGAAAAATGTGCCCAATTTTCCTTGGGTTGGTTGGTGATTTTGGAAAAAAGAAAAAACTTTTTTGAATTTTGTGGTGTTTGAAAGTGTTTTTGGATTCATTTTAGGCAGAGAAGTCTTTTTGCTCTGGGATTGCAGCTGCTAAAGATAAGGGACAGTGAAATATGATTTGAGTGCTAGGTCTTTTAATCACGCACTCTCTCTCTCTCTCTCTCTCTCTCTGTGTCTCTCTCTCTCTCTGTGAAAGAATATAAAAAGGTAAATGCTAATTACTATATAAATTTTTGTCATGAAAATTAATATGAAAATAAAATGTATGGTATAAATTTAAAATTAGTAAAATATAAGTCATACTTAGAATAATTGTAGTCAATAAATTTACTTTTCTAAATACTTTTTTTGAGTAATGTATTATTATTGATATATATTCTTATTGTATTTAATGCCACATGGTATTTTATGTAGAAACAATGATATTACGTGCGTGAAAAAGTAAAAAAATTATCAAGTGTTTCTAAAATAAATTTTGACAATACATTAGTGTTTCTATGCACATTTCTATAAATATTTATTTCTTATTTCTTATACACATAATATTTTGAAGTAAATATTCTAAGTTCATGGTAATATCAGGTAGTGATAGAAAAAGATTGTAATTATTGAATACAATGAAATTTATCATTTTATATTGGTAATTTGAAAAACAACATGAGATATGATATTTGATAATTGGTTTGTTGTAACATGGTCAACAATAATTTTCTCTTATGGATTGCAGCAAATGTCATGGACAATGTAATAATTTTTAGAATATTGCATAATTGTGGACTCATTTCTATTATACTCAATGAAAATTAATTATCTTAATGATTTGTTGGTGCACTATTATGTATGCAACTTTTGAAATAGGGAAAATATCACATCAGTGAGTACTACAAAAAATAATTACAAATAAGTTAAAAATTATATAAATATTAGTAATTAAATTTATAAACTTTTTAGTGTATTTGTATTTTTTTTTTTGGCATCTCACTGGGTTGTAATTCCCCCTTTGAAATATAACTAATTCCAAAAATGTAAAAATAAATAAATAAATTTTGAGACTTCACCCAACGTACCTCATTCTTTACCATAATATGTCATGTCCATAGGTACTTGGTTTTCTCCAACATTATCTTTGAAGCATTTAGAACATTAACATTGATTGGTTGAAGTGTTAACGTTAATTACCCATAATAGCAACTTAGAAAGTAAATCACAAGAGTGAAAACTTTAATTACTACCCAATTAACTAACTGATATAATGTTTTGGAGCCTAAATTTAACTTTAATAATAGACAGAACAGAAAGGGTTGGCAAGTTAATGAGTTTTATGCTCAATTTTGCTCATTTTACTTCCCAAGAATCCAATGAAAAAAAAAAAAAAAAAACTTAGATCTAAAATTTTTATATTACATTACTTTACGCTATATGTATAATGTACGGGAAAGAAATAAACCTTCTCGTATAATCCTATTGACCAAGTCTACGCTCCTCCGTATGACGTCGCCTTATCACCAGAAAACACAAACGTGAGCTAGCCGGCGGGTGTGTGCCGGAAACCTCTCCGATGCCTAAGTCAGCAAACTTGACAAATAGACAAAGCTCTGTGAATTCAGAAAGCAAAGTTATGTGTTACCTCTCCCAAGATGATGTTTGTGAGCTTTTATAGGTTTTTTGCGTGGCACAATCTTAGTAGGACTTCTACTCCTCCATGTAGAGTCCTCCTAGGATTCATACTCATGTAGGATAATGCTTATCCTTTAATACCCCACTGCTTAAACCAAGTGGGATGGTTTTTACTATGGCCGAACTACCATACAACCGGAATAACACTACCATACTATACAGGCAGGTATGGCCGATCTGACTACTAGTTCGACTCTTCCCTTCCTTGCTTCTATCCCGGCTGCAAATGCTAAGACCGAGCTATCCATAGAAGTGTTAAGCCGAACTAACTCAAACTTCCCTAAAGAAGGTTCTCTCACTCTGGTTAGAAGAGATGACCGGGCTAATCCGCAATATGCCGCAACCGAGCTGCCCCCAAGCCTATCTGACAACCGAACTAACCGTAGTACTCCTTTTGACTGGTGTATCCTCTGTCTTTCGTATTTGGACCAATCTCGGCCCAACACCCAGCTCGGCCCAATTTATATACATAAATTACCCTCTCATATAAGATAAATATATAACCTCAAATATCCTATCGATTTGACAATTCGAACTATCCAAACAATCACTAGAGAGTAATCAACAGGGCTAGCTCATTGGTCAGAATCTCTTCATCTCAGTAGGAGGTTTTAGTTCGCCTCCCCCATTTGCGTGTATGTCTTATTCCTCTTGTATTTGTTTGTGTCTTTGAGAGTTTATATGTATAGTAATTTGTTGCCTTTTAACTTCGTTGTGATTGCGATTTATTGAGCTTCATTGCTTCATAGTAATGTGAAAGTTTTTATTCTAGGGAAAAATATTTGAATAAATAAACTGTCATTGGAGTGTGCATTCCAAAAGCAAATTGCCCCATTCTTTTCATAATATGGTGATTATGCAGTGATTAAAGATGCTGCAACTTTTACTTCTTTTTGCTATTTGAAATTTTACAGTTTGTTACTTCATTTTACCACTTATGTGATATACTTTTAGCTGATAGTGAAATGGAGCCTAGAATGATTTTTTTGTTAAATTTTTTGTCATTTTCAATGTGAAATTCAAATCTTGATTATTCAATTACACCCTAATTAGACAAACTTGTTAGCTAAATTCAACCAATTAGTTGGTTGGACCGCCCCCAATTTTGGTATGTCACTTTTAATTTGTATATTAAACATTTTGTATGAAGATGGAAAAGGTTTAGTAGACATAAATTTTGGTTTGGTTCATTATGTCCTAGAATAGGAGAATTTGTTCTAGTGTAATATGAAACCCAAGAAGTGGTGGGTATGAATTATATTCCATGAATTTTTATTTTAATCAAACAAAAATGGATTTTGTTTTTTGACAAATTCTGTTTTCATTTTCTATTTTTCTAGGAGGAGGATTCCCTCTCCAGTCCAAAAATTGAACAGGGGGTTGTTTGGGCCCATAGGCCCATCATGGGACTCGTTTCGATGATTCGAATCGTTCATTTTGTTAGGCATTTCGTATATTTCATCCATACAAAAATATTAAATTGATCCAATAATTGTAACTTATTCAATTTATTATTTTTGTCTTCAAAAAAATATATGATTTATTTTTTAAAAATACAATTATCATCTTTTAGTAAAAAATACGGTAAATTAAACAAATTATAGTTATCGGATTGACTTAATTTTTTTTGTAAATCAAATATACGAAGTGCCCGACAAAATGAAAGGTTGGCATTATTGAAACAGAACCTGGATAAGCCCCAAGGGCCCAAACAGCCCCTCTTCCAGTCCAGGATGGAATCCTCCTCCTTTCTAGAAATCACAAAAAACATGTTTTGGTGAACTATTTTCCCAAAAGTGTTTTTTGAACTTCATTATTTTTATTTATGAAAATACAAAAAACTAAAATGAATTTTTTTCTCATTTTTCCTAATCCAACTGAAAAAAGAAGAAAAAAATAACAACTATTTTTCAATTGATTCCTTGATCTATCTTTTTCCCTTTTGTTTGTTTATTTATTTTTTCTACAAATTCAAGATCCAAACATAACACAAATTTATACCACAAACACAATGGCATCGTGGGATTTCTAATAACAATTTTTATATCAAGTTTGAGTTATCCTAATCACTGTCTTAATGCGTACTTAATATTATACATTATGTTTTCCTTTCACTAGTTTGAGTGCTTGACTATACTTACCATGTTTTCAGGCATTATACATCTTTACATGCATGTATATATAATAATATGTGTTACTAATATATACATATTATTATATAAAGTGTACAATTTATAAAGTTTCATACATATATTTTTTTTAAAATATTTATATTATTAACTATTTCAGAAAA